CAAATATCCTTTATGTATTTAATCCCATTCTATTAACCAATCGTCTTTGCTAAGTCTCGTACCGGCAGGGATTGTAGGTGGGGGGAGTGAATGTACAGTGCTCTCTACCACCTTAAATACCACGACTGAGGTGACCTTGAGCAAGGCACCGAACCCCCAACTGCTCCCCGGGCGCCGCAGCATAAATGGCTGCCCATTGCTCCGGTTGTGTGTTCACGGTTTGTGTGTGTTCACTGCTGTGTGTGTGCGCACTTAGGATGGGTTAAATGCAGAGCACTAATTCCTAGTATGGGTAACCATACTTGGCCACATGTCACTTCACTTCTTCTGACCTTCGATGATCCAGTTCAACCATACTAATAAGCAAAATTACTCTAGACAAACATTTGTGTGTCTTTTTTTATTGTTGAAGTGTGTTGAAATTTCTTCTTCTGCATTCTACTGTACAGACGTAAATTTACTTTCCCTTCAGCCTGAGGCTTATTCATTTCACTTTTGGTGTGAAAAGGCTTTTATATTTGCCAAAAATATAACTTTTTTTTATTTTAAAAACAAAAAAGCAAGCCCTGTCCAGATTTAAAAAGTAACGCAAAAGTAACGTTACGCATTACTTTCCATAAAAAGTAACTAAGTAGCGTAATTAGTTACTTTTTTATGGAGTAACGCAATATTGTAATGCATTACTTTTAAAAGCAACTTTCGCCGACACTGGTGAAGACTTTTACATTATTACAAAAAATTTGATTTCAAATAAAAACTGTTTTCCAGTGAATGAGTGTAATACAGTGAAAAGTCTGAAAGAAAAGTCTTTTTTTTATGTTAAAAAGGTTTTATGTTTTGGAACAGTGAAAAACAAAACAATGAAAAATATGAATATGAATTTTTTTTTTATTAACTATTATGTACTATTTCTATGTCACTAACCCAATAAAAATTTGTACATATGGTCAGGTTTTCTTGCTTTCATAAGAATGCTGTTCTTAACACTCAAATCAAGCTGGATAACATGATCATCAGATTTTACAGATATGTGGTGCCAAATACAAAAATGTATATTAATTTTTTCAATTAAACAATTGCTGACAATTTAATTTACTATGGAAAAAAAGCCTAAGAAATGCAAGCTCACAAGTGGCCACACACTTTGAATCCCACTGTATGTTGAAATTTGTTCATATGGCCTACGTGGATAATAGTTACTTGCCAAAAGGAGGAGAATCGCTGACAACCAGAACTCTGGAGTCATTTTCATACATGAAAAGTACACTAGAGCAGAGGCTTCGGTGAGCGCTCCAAAGAACACTCTTTGTGTCCACAGAACACTGAAAAAGGATCTATTTCACAGTCGGATTTGCGCTGATGTAGGCTTACGTCCCAAATTAAGTTAGCTTGGCTAGCATGTAATCTGTGAGGAAATGTTATATAAAACCTGACCAATCATATGAAAATGCCTGTAGCTCTGTTCCCAGTTCCTGAAACCAGCTCAACGGCAGGGATCAGTATATGCTGGGCTGAGATGCATTTATCTTTCATGAATGCTTCTCCAAATAGATGCCGAAAAAATCTGAGAGACTGATCTCAAACTGTGAAGCGAAAAAAGCATCCAGGGAGAGCATCTTATTTGTCAAGATCACATAAGCACTTACCTCGGCAGCAAATCAGCTAATGGCCTGTTACCATAAATTGTGGTACTTCATAAAAAGAGCCTCGCTGTGCGTGTGCGCGTACATATTTAGAAAACCTTGCGCATACAACCAAAAGCTTCGTCAGCTGCATTTCAAAGAACTTGTAGGACAGCAAAGTCAAAAGCTCCAACTCAGCAAGTTTGGATTCTCTGGGTGGTAGCAAAACATTCTGAAGTGATGAGTATATAATCTCATATCACCGTAATTCCCTAAACGCCGCTGGCAGCTTAAGTTCTTTTTCCTCTCCATCTTTTCCCCTCAAATTTGTTCTCTTCCATCATTTGTAAGTCAATGGTTTGCCCAGCTCACAACAGCCTCTTCATGGTGGGTTATTTGAGAGCTTGGTGTAAAATTTGGGGCGATGTTTCTGCTCTGACAGTCGAAAGCACTTTTGCTGTGTCCGTGTGTGTTCAAGTAAACTTCTGGTCTTTTTTATGCTTTTGTCTCTGACAGTGAAATGACTGTCAAACTAGTCAAACTTCAACAAAATGATATGTTGTGATCACATCCACGCTATACATTTATTATAAAAGGATCTTTAAAAAGTTTTTGGACACTTGAATTTCACTGCATTAGAAAATTAAATATATGTGGCAAAACAAGTGGCATTTGCAAATAAATCATTTTATATGTTTTCCCTCAACTAACTATACTTATGAGGTCAGTTAAGTTCACACAGGTGCCCTAACAGAGTCCAACATTTGACCATCACAAAGTGCCCAAACTATTTGTCTTCATTTTAAACAATATTGTTTCATCTATTTAAACTTCTTTTATTTTACCTTATTTTTGTGAAATGTGTTTTTTTAAAGGGTTTGTGCTATATTTCTTTAAAAGCATCTTTTTATTAGGCAACAGCAAGTTTAAAGGGGTCATATGATGCTATTTTAAAGATCATTATTTGGTGTATTTGGTGTAACAGAATATGACAACATGCTTTAATGTTCAAAAAACACATTATTTTTCAAATACTGTACATTATTGTAGGTCCTCTATGCCCCGCCTCTCTCAAACGGGTCGTTTTCAACAAAGCCTCCTCCTTCCGACAAGCACAGTCTGCTCTGATTGGCCAGCTGACCCAGTGCATTGTGATTGGCCGAACATTTATGCTTTGCTGTTGTGTTGAAAGCTATCTTAATGATTCCTAATTGCATCTACTTTCGGAAGGCCAAATAAAGTGCTTTTGCACTGAAACACAGCGTGTCCCTGACATGGCTGCACCAACACGACTGCTGTTCCTGCAACCACGTCTTCTTTCTTTGCATGCACATTTGGGCACCATTATGCTAAAATTTCCACATAGTGACGTAGACATGTGGGGGCGTGTTAGAACGAGCCGTTTTAGGTAGGCGTGGTTGACTCTTAACTTTTATAAAGAATATCTCTTTGGATTTGAGACTTTAGTGTTTGCAACTTTACAGATCTTCTTTATGCACCAAGAGCTTGTAACACTCCAAAGAGAAAGGAAAACTTGAAATCGCATCATATGACCCCTTTAAGTGTGGTTTAGGCTTGTAAATACTTTTTTGGGCCACTGTATGTATAACTAGTCCCAGAACATGCCAGATCTTTTCTTTTTGCATTTTCTGCTTTTATTTAGAAAAAAATATTTAAAATGAATTTAAATCAAATGTGCTAAATAGGGCTAAGACTATTAGGATCTGGTATCTAAAAGCATGATTTTGTTCTTAGTATTGTTAATAAACAAACAGAAATCTGTGTTTAATGTGTATAAGTTAAAAATGACGATTTATATATTGCATGCACAGCATGAATGCACTTCACACATATAAACTGCATATAGTCTTCTTAGGAGTTTAAATAATGCAACAGCTGCAGAGCTGAAAATGAATACAATCTAAAAACGACACTACCAATCACAAGCATATGTGCATTTACTCTTACTTTATTAATATTTTTTCCATATTTTAGAATAATAGTATTAATAAAGTATAATCAAAACTACGAGATCCCATCACATTCACCTCTCTCTCAGTCTACTCCGGTGTCTATCCAAATGTCCAAATCTTATATTTCAGCTTCTATAAGGTAGCACACTCTGAGCTTCTCATTACCAATTGCATGAGGTGCATCTTAAGATTCTATTTGTACAGTATTGAAGGGCTTGCCATCTACACTGTCACCTTGTTTTCAATTAGAAGACAACTCAACAATTTCAAGAAGGAAATCAAAACTAATTTCAAATATTTAAGCAGAAGGCTTTAGATCAAATGGTATTTAATCCAGATGACGATAAACATGCATTTAAAGTCAAACAACTTGTGGTGTATGTTTATGACCTCTATAAATATTTTTGACTCACTTTTTTGGGTCAAATGCCTCTGCACCTCCTTTGGACCCTCCTCCAGGTGTTCTCCATGCCAGTCTCTCGATATACTCATCAGCATCAAAGGGTTCCTGTTAAGACCACAAAAATAATAACGAATAATAAGCTAAATGTAATTGCTAATGACATGCATAGAAAAATATGCTTTAGTAAATTAGCATGACCATCTGGACTGTTTATACAAAGGTGGTCTAGAGAATCTGAAGAGTTCTGATCGTCTGACAACCCAAACCAGAACAGCTGGGCAGAGGCTTCATGTGACACCAGTGTTAATCTACTGTCTGCATGCAGCATGTCATTATATATCAAAACGAAACAATGTATATACTGCACGCACTTACATGAGCTATGAAAACAGTTTGTCTGAGCTGGAACGCAGACCGTGACAGCTTAGGGGGAAAAAAGAGACCTACCTCGAATAACTGGGCTGTCGTAGCCATATTTCAAAGCGCCAGAAAGCGAAAGGATACTCCTTTAAACGGCGTAGTAACTATATTTTGCTCCTTGTTGTTTATATCTATTCTGAAAACAGTCGCTTCCTGCGTCCAGCTGCTGCCATGACTGGGCCGGAAATAGAAAGAGAGGATACGAGGTGAGGAAGGATAAGCGGGATATGCGTTTGAGAGCAGGTCTGGGGTCAGTTTTGATATTCTACTCCAACGTATTCGAAAACAGCGCAGTGTTTACGGCTGATCCTGCGTCAGCTCCGTCGCATCGACGCCTCGTTTCGACCACGCCCCGGAGTGTCACGTGATCGCTGGCAAACAGGAAGCACAAACTGTCACGTGAGAATAACATGACAGAGGCGAGTTCCTCTATTTAGCTTTCATTTCTTTGAACATGTATGTTAAGATCAGAAGTTTATATCGGTCACACTGTGTCGAACTGTGACAAAAAAAATAAAATAAAAAATAATAATAATCTTTCGTCTTACCGAGTGAGCTAAAAATTGCATACTTCCCTAAATGTTTGGCATGTGAGACTAGTCGCACTCATCCATAGGGACGTAACCAGCAGCATGAGTATACGAGCACTATGGGTTGTCTCGCACGAGAAGGGTGAATCTGGAAAAGTGCGCTTTTCCAGGTAAGGACGTTTTCTGTGAAGGAACATTAGCGTACTGCGTACTGCATACTGTGCAGTATGTACTGCATACTGTCTTTTACTTTAAAGCGGCTTTTTAGAATGGAATACTAACTGTTAATCCTTTTTTCTGCATCTGTACTGTATATAGTATTTGTACCTTGCCTTTCGGGGCACATGAGTTCCTGAACATGATGAATGATGGGATATGCTTAAGGGCCAGTCACACCAAGGATGATAACTTTAACGATAACTGTAAAGTTTTAATAATCGCTCGAATTCTATGAGGATAGGGAAGTCCACACCATAACTATAACAACAGCTACTGACACAAATGATATTGCTATGCATAGTGTTCAGAACTATTTTTTGAATATTTTTCAGAACATATTTTTTTCCAGCTGATGAATGATTAAAAAAAAACATTGACAGCCAATCAGAATCCACCTGACTTAACATTTAAAGTGGCAGATGAGGTAAATGTAGCACATGCTTATTATAAACAGAATGTTATCATGCATTGTTGTGGATGCTAATATAGTTATCTTTATAGTTATTGTTCTTGGTGTGAACGGCCCTTTAACAAGTAATATTGGTATTATTGGCATACCAACATTGGCGTACCAACAGCCCTTTAGCAATCATATTGGCAGTAATATAATATTGGTAAAAGTGGTATTAGAGATGTAATTATTTGTGAAGGGCATTGAGCTTTGGCATTTTTCCTGAGACAGTTTAGCACGTTTACTTCCTGTCTCGTACACGCGTAAAGTCAAGTTGAACACATTGCACGGTGGTATACAGTATGCAGTAAGTTATCTGGGTTTTCCATGAAAACAGAAAATGCAAACAGCGCTCTTTCTACAGAAACAGTTTGATTGGAAAGCTTTTCCCAACATAGCCAATTTATTAATTTTTTTCTTTTGTTATGTTTTTTTTAATTCAGGCGATTCCCAACAGTTGAGTTCCGTGCCAAATCCTTGGCTGGAACTCAATATGTGGCCGTTCCGGAGGACCGCGTCATACCCCAGCTTCTGCTGACAGAGTTGGGCCTGGTGGATGCTGACAAACCTTACGTGGAAGTACGGGACGACTGTGCCCGTCAGCACCGCTCACCGGCTGTGGAGCTCCGTCTGGATGGCCCGGGTGGGAGAACCCTCTGGCCTGTGCTCACAGTCACTCAGGGAGTGTTAATCCTAGCCTGCCTTCCTCTAGTGGAAGCACCTCCTGAGCCTCGGCCACCTCTCCCCAGCCTGGCCTCAGTCTCTAAGGGCTTAGCTCTTTTGTTAGGCCTGCAGGATTTCCTTTGTGGCCCTGGAGGTAAACCAGAGCCTGATGTGCTGGCCTCCCGTTTGGCTGCTCTTCCCTCCGTGCTCCTGCAGGTTTGCCCTTTGGGGAGGCCACTGGACACCCCTCCTCCTGCTGGATTAGTGCCTGCTGCTGTGGCTCCAAGCCCAGGGGGGGCTCAAAAGCAGCCAGCCTGGAAGGCAGGGGTCCATCGAGGCAGGGCTGTAGTAAGTGTGGCCCTTACCGAGAAGGTGAGGTCCATGCAGTATGGCAAGAGTAGTCAACAAGATATCTGGGATGTGTACGGCATGGTCATGTGCAAAGTTAGTCCTCATCCTATATACTGAACATATAGTTTGATTTGTGTTATGTTTGGTTATAAACTTGCATTGCATTTATTACTTCATGTTTTTCAGTGTGAGGTTGAAGGTGTTCTGCCCAATGTGATCGTTACCCTCACACTCCCACACAACGGTTCGCCCCTGCAGGACATTCTTGTCCATCCCTGTGTGACGTCTCTGGATGCAAGCCTTCTTACCGCCTGCAGTGTGGACGAGAATGACAGTTCCGCCTTTTCAGGGCCATACAAGTTCCCTTTCTCACCACCTCTGGAGCTTTTCAGACTCTGTAGTTACACCTCACAGGTAAAGCATATTCTGGCAATAGTTTGTCTTATGTTTTGTCTCAAAAATGTACCATTCAAAAGTTTGGAATCGGTAAGATTTAAAAAAAAAAAAAAAAAAAAAAGTTTTTGAAAGAAGTCTCTTATTTGAACAAAAATATAGCAACATTTTAATTAGCGGTTTTCTATTTTAATATAATTTAAAATGTAATTTACTCCTGTGATGGCAAAGCTTAATTTTCAGCATCATTACTCCAGTCTCATCAGTGTCACATGGTGTTTCAGAAATAATTCTAATATGTCAAAATTACTTTTTTGAATCAACAAAGTTGATAAGCATTTTTTTGGCAGAACTCTCTGATGAAAGGAAAGCTCAGAAGAGCAGCATTTGTTTGAAATAGAATTATTCCATTATAAATTACTTGACTATCACTTTTAATCAATTTCATAGATCCTTGCTGAATAAAAGTATTAATTTATTTAAAAAAACAAAAACTGACAACAGATTTCCGAACAACAGTGTGTACGTGTTTTACTTTAATTCTATCTCATTATGGTACACACACACACACACACACACACTAAAAGCTGTAGTGTGCTTATAACTTTTTTTGAGGTACCTGTGCCACCAATTCTTGGCTCCTTCAAGCTGAAGGCAGAGGAGAATCATTTGAAGGTCAATGTCATCTTGAAGCTCCATGAAAGTGTCAAAAACAGCTTTGAGTACTGCGACGCACACATTCCATTTTTCAACCAGTAAGTTACACTAATTTGTAGTAAAACGCTTAATTCTATACTGTAGATGTGTTGGGTAGGGTTCAGCATTTACACGGTCAGATATTTATAATGGCTCTTTATCTAGTTGTCTGTCTTTAGCTGGTACTGTTGTGCTTATAAATGGTACACTGGCTGTTATAGTGCCCTTGTGCGTGCTTATTCACAGGAATCTAATGGGAAGTGTGGAGGTCAAAGTGAGCTCAGGACAGCTTGAGGTGTCTAAAGAGAAGAACCTACTGGTTTGGGTCCTTGGTATGTACTGTATGTTCTTAATATTCCATGATATTTCAATTTATTGTTATTATTTATAATTATATTACTGACATATGTCTTTTTACCTCCTCAGGTCAGAAGTTTCCAAAGTCCCGTGAAGCAACACTGGAGGGAACTGTTCATTTTTCAGGGACTGTTGCTGGACCGACAGACCCTCTGTGCACAGGACTCACCGCATATATAAAAGTGAGGGTGAATTCAGCATCAACTGATTTGTTCTTTATATAATAAGATACTAAGACTCAGTTTATTGCACAGGATGTCTGTATTAATGTATTTAATAACAGCTCATGTCATCTGTCACTGTGTTCTTTCCAGCTTTATTTCCGTGTGCCAGATTTGACTTTGTCTGGTTGCTGTGTGGACCAACACTCAGTGCAGGTTTACTCATCTGCCAAACCACGTATTGTCACAAGTGAGTGGTAACTAAAACTACCAAAATAATTTTTGTTAATTGAAATAAAATATAACATACATTTTAGATAATTAGATAAAAATGTAGATATTAGATATAAAAAAAAAACTTAAAATAGAAAAATGTTGCCTTGCCAGCTAAGTGAAATAAAATTTTTAAACTGAAGAACTAAAATGACTAAACCTGAAATAAAATGAATAAATGCTAAATAGAAATATATTTTTAAAAAGTCAAAAAAAATTATAAATACTATAATAGTATATTAAAAAAAATCTAAAATAACAGTTCAGTGATGATTGCATGTTGAAATAAGTTCACAGTGGCTTATTGACATGAAAAAAAATAAATGACTGTTGAAATTAACCTATATACGTTTTTTTTTTTCTTTAGCACGAGAGCTGGTCTCCTCCGAATATTACATTTGGAACTCCACAGGTGACGCCCCGGTGTCCTCTGGACTCATGGTGCTGTGACAGCATCTCGTTGATGCACACCGACCTTAATAAATCATTGTAGATATTAAACAAAGATCAGGCACTAAATGATATTCTGTACGGAAATGTTGCCTCTGACAAATGTTGCTGTCAGTGTTAACTTACATTTACAGTGTGACTATCATATCAACAGTATGGTTTTTCTAATCTGTCAAAATATAAAATACTCAGCGTCTCACAGAATGTGTCTTTTGTGTGAATATGACTCCTTTATTTAGCTGAAAATGACCTGATATAAAATTAATGACATAAACATTTATTATATTAATGTTATTATTTTTCATTTATATAAATATATTTAGTGATTAACTAAGGGTTTTTAATATAAAGAAAGGTTTTTTTTTTATCAAATGTTCTTTCATCGTCACTAATAAGAAGTAATGAAGAATTAAAATGCAATTAACAGTTCTTTCATTTTGCTTCAGAACTGGGCCCCGAGTGTTTACTGGTGTTCAGGCTTTGGTTTTCCCTATTAGCTATTCAGCTGGTTTATATAGAGGCCCCTTGAGCTCACTTACAAGAGGACTTTGGCCCTGTGTTTGTTTGATGAGGTTGAAAAGAGTGTATTTTGGTGGGAGAGAAGGAGAGAAGGCAATTGTTGAGGAGAAATACCAGACTGGTATCCAAAGAGGTTCTTAATTAGTTTCCAAAGTGACCCATAGAGGTCCCACTTAAGCTTGCCTCGGTCTCTCTCCTGCCCAACAAAAACACTTAATGCAGACTTAAAAATACCAGTCATCCAACTTGCAACGAAAGGACCCTTTACTTTTGGTCTTTAATTGTTACAATAGGAAATCAATTATGCAGCCTATGATGTTATAGGATATATCTGTTTTGGCTAAATGTTATAAAACCAAACTGGTGCATAAATTGTGCGTCACCTTATATACATTGTATGGCTCTGGGCAGAAAGCCATTTCTGCATAGCTATAAATAGCAGCTGAGTTGCATTTGGCTGTCAATTACAGCTGAGAATCCCCATGCAGAAGACAGAAAGATGATGATGATGGTTCAGCTGGAGCCACAGAAGAGCTCTCCACTGAAGCAAATCATTGTCTGAGAGATTAATTGTCTGCCACGTCTACTGATTGCCTTGCTGTGTCTCTGTAAGAACAAGGCAGGGCTGCATTCTCACAAGGATTTTCTCCTTAGATCACCGAGCGTGATCAATCTTATGGCTGAAGCAAGTCTCCAGTATGGTCCTCCGCTTTATGCGTCTGTCTGTATTCTCAGAGAATTGGGTCATTCCCCATCATACATTAATTCTAAAGGAATGTGTTCAGGATTCCTATTGGAATTTCTACAATAATTATGAATCATTATAGAAAAAAGATGGTTAATTACTTTATTTAAAGGGGTCCTATTATGCTTTTTTAGTCTTGATTTTGTTTTGGGGGTGTACTAGAACAGGCTCTCATGCTAGGTTGTTCGAAAAACATTAATTTTCACATATTTTACATTATTACAACACCTCTCTCAGTCTGGTATGAACGGCTCGAATAGTTCCTGTATCAAATGAAGGCCCGCCTTCTGAAATACGAAATGTGCTGTGATTGGTTAGCTGGGCCAGTGTGTGTTGTGATTGGCAGCACTCGGCGCCTGGTCGGGAAAATGTCACGCCCCTTACCATAGCCGCCTGCGAGCTTCAGTGTAAATATTGCGTCAAAATCAAATCAATTTGAGGGTGATTTAAACCCGGATGATTGTAACCACTCTAAGTTCGTCGGCCTTGTGAAAGCTAGCGTGTCTCCAACATAGTGATAACACTCGTTGCCTTCTCTAGTGCAGCTCAACCAGGTCTCATCCCATTCGTCGATATTTGTGATATCACAAATCCCGGAAAATATGCGTTGTAGTCCAAACGAGTCGTTCGTTGTAGTTTTTGTAAAGTGATTTCTGTTGAATAAAATATCTCCTTTTGAAGTGGACTTTGAGCTTTGTAACTTTGCAGATCTTTTTTATGCTCAAACAGCAACATTACAGACTAACTTCAGTTGAAAAAGTGAAAAAGCATAATAGGACCCCTTTAAATCTTGCGTCCTATTGGATATTATGTGGTCTTTATTATATTGAAAAAAAAGTCTTCCAACATTGTTAAATAAATATATATTAAACTATTAATTCAAGCTATAATATGTTTATTTGTAATAATTAAATGACTCATTTTGATTTAAATATATTGGTAACAAAAATAGTTGAGATATTGAGAACTATGTGATTTAATAGATGTTTCGTCATGTTGGAATTAGGGTTATTACAGTTAACTAAAACTAAGACCATAAAAAGAATAAAATAAATGTAAACTGAAACAAAATAAAAAATATAAAAATAAACTTAAACATTTTATTTCAGATATAGTTTTCCCATTTCAACATTTGTCCTTTTCACTTAGATTAACTTGATGTGCTAAAATAACTGAAACAGAAATTCAAATAAATCCATAAATAAAAACTACATAGACAAAAAAAAAACTAATAGCTAAAATAGTGTAAACATAAAACATAATTAGGCTACTAAAACTTAGTAAAAAGTGACTTTTGTGAGAAAAAAAATAACTGAATCAAAATATAAAAATATAATTCTCATTTACACATTACAATTCACATTAAAATCACTTTTTTTTGAGGTAATCAAAAGAAAATGTTTCCAATTTAATAAAACAGTTTATTCCAGTTTATTTTGTGCCTTGAATTGGTCTACATTATTTGTAGCATGCTGTAGTCATAAGAGAGCATCATTTCACTAAGACAATTCTCCTTTAGCATATAATTTTAAGGAGCGCACACTCAAAACACTGCATCAATGATGAGCCCTGGGGCGAAGTCGCACAGAATTGGATGTATAGGTCCATCTAGTGGCTCTTCTTGGGAAATAGATTTAGGACCATGTATGTATGTATGTATGTATGTATGTGTTTAACAATGGCGCGTTCCTGGAATTGTATAGTTTTTTTTTAAATGGCGTTTTAGAAGTTTTAGAAGGATGTCTTTGGTGTACATTCCTAAAAGAGAATTCGGCGTTTTGTATTACAACATAAATTAAACATTCAATACAAATACAACATATTCATGCCTCAGAATTGTGAAGCCGCTGTTTTAAACGTAAGTTGCTAAATTGCTATAGCTTGGTCGTGTGCTTTCAACATGCAGCGCCCATGAGTTCGAGGAGTGCCTACAATAATAGTGTATAGATCATACTAAAATAACACTGCTTTGGGGGTGACCTGCTCGAATAATAGTTGTGCTTTCAACATGCAGCGCCCATGAGTTCGAGGAGTGCCTACAATAATAGTGCATACTAAAATAACACTGCTTTGGGGGTGACCTGCTCGAATAATAGTTTTTTCTTTTCTTTTCTAGAAGACTGATAGCTTTAGTGTATTCACGTGATACGAGTGTATTTTAAATGTGTTAATAATTGTTTTCATGCAAATAAATAAATAGTGCACTTTAAATTTGAATGAAACTCAATTTCCCAGCATCCTTTACTGAAACGCGCCGGCATAGTGTCGTAAATCATCTACTCTGCTTTACGGCAGATAATAGGCCAGTGTGGAGTGAATTGAGCAATGGCAGGAACAGACACGAGATAGTCCACGAGCCTTACGTTATCCCTACATTTATCAGGTACCAGCAGCCGGACGGGCGTCTGTCCTTGTCGTTCGCTGCGAGAGGCTGATTCTGACCCCGTTTTTCTGTCATCATAGTAACTGTATGCAGTGGAATGGCTGAAGTGCCGCCTGGGCCTAACGCACTGCCTTCATCCCCGAGCGAGATCACACCACTGCCCGTGGACGGGTGCACCTTACTGGGCCACGATGAGGGACGGGACATCATCAGCCCCGGCCCGGGACACCAGCACGCCAGCGACCATAAGGCGATAGTCAAATCCAACCTGAACAACGTGCATCCTAATGCATCAGCCGCCCAGTTCCACACAGCCCAGCTGAACGGGGTCCAGTGCAACCACACTCGCCTCCAGAACCACGTCCAACAACACCGGCCGTCCGACAATCAAAACGCCGCTTCCGATCACCACTTGGACGGGATCGGTGAAACACAGGGCGAGCACACGGAAAACAACAATTTCACGAGAAATAAACGATGTAGTGATAAATCGCAGAGCCAGTCGCCGCCGAACAACGGGATAAACTGCACTGATAGTATGGCGATAACGGAGAGCAGCTCTTGCCGACTGGAGAACGATGTAAGTAGCAGGACTGGTTCGGGGGATCGGGCTCGAGCGGCTGCGGCTGCGGCTGGGGCTGGGGCTGAGTCAGGCCCGGGCCCGCAGCGCGCTGGAGTAGAACAGGCGGCGGCTGACAGCGCTCCGGTGGCGGGGATGTCGAGACTAGCGCTGGAGGAGCACGACGACTCCATCCGATACGTGAGATATGAGTCTGAGCTCCAGATGCCTGATATCATCCGACTCATAACTAAAGACTTATCTGAGCCCTACTCCATTTACACCTATAGGTACTTTATTCACAACTGGCCTCAGCTCTGCTTTCTGGTATGTATCTTGTCATTCAGGTATTCTTGATGGTGTTGAAGAGATCCGTATCAAAGCCTTCAATATCATCTCTGATATAACAAAATGTCTAGCGTTTATGTAGAAACGTATAAAATATTACTGATTAATTAGCATATTAGTTGATCTTGGATTTTAAATGATATTTCAATGTGCATCAGAGAACAGTACGGTACTACCATGGTTTTGGACACATACTATGTTACCACGACTAAAATAAACATGTTACTATAGTAAGTTACCACAAAAATAAATAAATGTTTTTACCATGGTATGTCTCAAAAGCATGACCATTATATAACCATGTCCAAAACATTATACTGTTTTTTTTTTGTCTAATTTATTCATATTGATTGAAGTGATGGCCTGGCTTTACTCCTCCTCATATTTAACCACATTAGACACTTCTGAAACACTACTACCTGTCTTTTGCTAGAATGATGTTTCATACTAAAACTATTATTAGTAGTATATTATTACTTTATATTATTACTTGCTTTGTGTCTATTCATAGATCTGTCATTCACTTATGTATCATCAATATTAGCCTCCAACATCGTCTGATATAATAATATCATTGTATAGTGAGAGATACAATTTTACTGACTGATTACCATTTTGGTATATCTCGTATTTAAATGATATTCCAATGTACAACAAAAAATGACATATTATTACCCTGCTATGTGTCCAAAACTTGGCATGACCATGTTACCGTGACCGTAATAAACAGTATTGCTATAGTACGTGTCCCCAGTGTAAAGTATAATCAAAATATACATTTTGTAGCATGTATTTACCATGTTCAACAGGTATTTGTAATATGTGTTATGATTGATTAAAGGTTGTACTTATTTTTTATTAGGCACCAACCTTGTTAAAAAGGCCATCTATGCTATGGTGGAGGGGGATTGTGATGAGGTAAGACATTAATCTTGTGAAGATTTCACACTATGGGTGTCTTCGGAATGGAATACTACTACAAACTTCATGCTACACAGTCGAGGTAGACTTAGAAGCATGGATTCTCCCAGGCGAGATTGAAAATGCTTTTCTTCTGAATTATTCCTCAAATTATAGTTAATAGTATTATTACTGTTACATTACATTTAATATGACCGATTTCATTTTAAAATAGTAAATGAAATATTTGTAAATGTTTTAAACTGCCTTATGCTACATTGTTGTCCTGTGAACTAACACGGGATGTTTTTCACTTATCTTAGAAATAAATGCAATTCATCATTATATATGTTAAATATTCTTGTGATGCATTTAGAATGCAAATTGCAGACCAGCCATGATATTTTTCTATTATTGTTTTTTTGTTTGTTTAGTGGAAGATTGGTTATATTACTTTGTGAGATACATCATCCCAGGCTAAGCAGTCAGGTTGTACAGTACACTGCAAATGTAGTATATGTACATGTACTCTACCATTCATAAGTGTCAAAATGTACTGGATGTATGAAATTAATCAAAAGTTACAGTAAAGATGTTTACCTTGTTAAAAATGTATTCAATTTAAAGGGGTCATATGATGCGATTTCAAGTTTTCCTTTCTCTTTGGAGTGTTACAAGCTGATTGTGCATAGATAAGATCCCTGAAGTTGCAAAGACTAAAGTCTCAAAACCAAAGAGATATTCTTTATCAAAGTTAGGACTCTGCCACGCCCCCCTAAAACGGCTCGTTCTAACACGCCCCCACATATCTACCTCACTATGTGGAAATATTTGCATAATGCCGCCCAAATGTGCACGCAAAGAAAGAAGGCGTGGTTTCAGTAACCGCAGTTAGTGTTGAAGCAGCCATGTCAGGGAGACGCTGTGTTTCTAGGCGAAAGCAAAAGCACTTTATTTGGCCTTCCGAAAGTAGATGCATTTAGGAATCTTTAAGATTAAGGACAACAGAACAGCAATGCATTTTATAGA